GCTACATAAGTCACTCATTAGGAGATAGCTCTGTCATATAAATGATGAAAAGAAAGTCTCACTTCAACAGGCATGTCCTGAATTTTATTCTGATCTTTGTTACTTCTGACATTGACAAACCACCACCGTGAGAGCTCTGTAAGCAGCCTCCTGAAAACGCTTTCCAATCAGCTCACCACTTCAGAGTTTTGTTCTTCCCTGAATTCATTTTCTCCATCCTGCAGTCATGTTCTGTGCCGATTGTCCTGTAATTCTCCATCTAACGCAGGCACTCGCATGTGGAGGGAGAACTTGTGTCTGCCCACAGGGCACTTTGAAACCCTTAGACCTTGCAGTACTTTCTATTTTCTTTGCTCTTTAAATACTGACTAGGCATGTACAAACTGACTCTGAAACCAGAATTTTGACCACAGAGAGTATAAATTTAATCTGGCCTCAGTGGTGATAATGAGTGTTCACTGAAAGATACGCCCACCATCTGGGTCTGAATCAAGCTGTAACACCATTGGCACTGGGACAATTATGTAAGGAGTTGAAGTTTGTGTACATGGTGGTGGATGTGTAGGTGGCTTTATCTGTGGTCTTCAGAGGCCCAGTTGTACTTCCACGGAATTTACCTGAGGCTTTTTCTCTGCTGTGGTGAGAGGGAAGATTTAGCTCCTGCTTAGCAACAAGTTAAATTCCACATTTTAACTTTTGGGTGAAAGCTCTGGGTTTTTTCCGTATATGTGTGTAATATAATGTGTACTCAGTCCAGTTTCTTGATTCTAGAATGAAACCTGTCATTATCACTATGATCTTATTTACAGACAAAAATCTGTAGAGGTTTCTTGGGAGGTTTCAAGTACAAGTGAACAGTCAAGAACAGGAAACAAAGGTAGCTAATCATGAAAATGGGTTGGTGAGTGTAACCTTTCAAAAGCTTGCAAGAGGGAAAACGCACTCTCTTCCTGCAGCTCTCGCTAGAACACTTTGCAATATCACTTTAAGGTCTCACATTGCCCAAGTTTTGAGAATGCCTGAACAGAATTTTCAAGAACGAATAGCCTGTATTTACTGCACAGCTACCAAAGTGTGTTTTAGTACTGGCTTGTGGTTCAAATGCCCATTTATAAACGTCACTGACCATTTTTTGGTATGAGATGTTGCGTATTAATAGTGCCTTTAAAATTATTGGCAAATCTGTTTTCTCATGATAATCAGTCAATTCTAAAGAACAAGCTATAGCATCTAATATATAATTCACTTTAGTGGAGGCAATTATGTTGATTGCAAAATCCATCAGAATACACTGGCTCTAAAAATAAGAGTGTATGTGGCAGTCCATATTTAGCAAATTGAGGTTATTAATCAGACCCTGTTCCTTGCATATCATTCATCCATATGTAAAGCATTTTTCAGCACCCTTGTCAGGGTGCAGCAGGAGCGGGCAGCTCTGCAAGGGGAGGGAAGCAAGAGATGAGGGTGGCAACGGTGCAGGCAGGAGCAATATCTTCACTGACAAAGTCTCAAGTGACCAGGAAGGTCCAAGGTCAAGCCAGGAAGCCGGGGCAGCGTTGGTAAGATACAGGGATGGTTAGAGGCGTATCTACAACGTAGCTCAAGCAGAGGCCTGGGGAAGCAGCTGGGCTTGAGCCCGGCTCCTGGCTGCAGGGGCCCTCAGTGCAGTCCCTGGGTGGGCTCAGGGCAATTACAGCTCCTGGTGTATGGAGGTCCCTGACCAGGACCTTTGAGTGGTAGATAAATAGAGAACTATGTAAAGAAATAGAGGAGCTTTTAGTTGGAGACCCTTCCTGCAGACGGTACTTCTGCGTGAAGCTGTAAAAACACTGACAACTCATACAAACCATGGGATTAGAAAAGCGGACACTGTCATTCTCTGAAATGCTGAGAGCTCATGACTCTGTTTTGAGAGGGAAACTGACTGACATCCTCCCCAGATGCTCAAGGTCAGGCTACTGGACGCATGCAGTTACTTCACAGGTTTTGGTGCAGAAAAGGAGTGGTACCTGTGAAAGATTGGAGCATCCGTATTTCAGATCTCGTTGCTCTAAAAGTCAGAAGAACAAAACTTCATTTCTCTGTCTCTTCAAATGTTCTAGCTGAAAATGAGAGTGATTTTCACATTCTTCTTGCTTTCCAACATGCTAGTGAATCCTGTTACAGGGAAGCCAAAGAATATGATAACGGGAGTGTGAACTGGTGAACTCAAATTCCTGAGCTGCTGCCAGCTTCTCGTGTGACTACAAGTAGCTCTTAAATAGATGCTCAAACATGCACTTCTATAATAAGGATGTAACTGTTAGCACACAGCAATTGAGTCAAAGCGTAGGAATGTCCTTCAGGAGTATTTTCTTCTACACTAGTGGATATGTTGTATTTCCCAAATAACTAAATCTTTCTTGGGCATATTCTAACTTATCCACACTGGCACAGAGAAACATTTCTGACATAAGGAATCCAAGCCACAGGTATGGTAACCTTTACGCTCCTGAAGGGGAGGGGATCTGGATATTCCAGAGAAAAAAGGTCTGAGGAATGAACATGGGTTTTTGAGTCTTGGCTAAGATATGCTCATAATAAAAAACAAACATTCCTATATGGACTATTTGCTATGGAGTTGGAGTAAAAAAGATCATTAAAAGAACAGTAGTACAGTCACACAGTGAAGACAAGGATTTTCTTAGGTACAGTATTAGAATAACAGTGTGGGAAGCTAATTCCTCTCTCCTGGTCCTGGAGACCGGGTGGTTGTTTTGCCAGTGTTGAGAACTCTGTGATCTAATGATGCTTTTTTTGTTAAAACCTATCCTGACAGAAACATGGACAGTCAGCCACCTCTGCAGCAACAATTTTTCTTGGAAGTAGTAGGAGATGCTAATCTCAAAATATACCCACAATGGGACTAAAGGAAGTGCTAAACTAACTAAAGGTGCCTACACAGGGACCGACAGAATGTGGTTTACAAGGAGTTAAGCAAGTGCAGAGAACGGGGATTTTGGTTTTTTTCTGTTCAGATGGTATTAGACTGGTTGGACTAGACAAAATTTGACCCATGGAATTCATAAATCTATCTATACATTTCTATTAAATAAGTGTTCTATTGCTAATATTTTTCAAGGGGTTTAGGGATTTTTTTTGCTTGTTCAATGAAATAACTTATTTTGAAGGAAAAGAGAGGAAAATGCTTCACTGTAGAAGAAGCTAAATTACAAAAGACCTTCTCCTCAGTATTCTCTTACCACTGTACTGATTGTGGATGCAACGTAGGTACAAAGGGTCCAAAATTCATCCCCTCATCTTTTTGTGACGTTTCAGTATGCATGCCAAAGCACTAGTGTAAGTGCATACTAATATTAAAATGCACGAAAACTGAGGTTATAGAAACTGTTTGCCTGCTATACTGGGTGTATAACATGGATTTGTATCTGTATTTGTAGATTTTGTAGACACAGAAATTGCTTTGGAACCAGAGGGGATATGGGACCGCAGGGAACAGAGGAAGAGGCCATGGCTTCTTACGGAAGTGGAATGTGAAAAAATGTGAAAGAAAATAGACCAGATAACATACCAAAAATGAGAAAAAAATAGACAAAACCTGCATTAAAATATAACTTCATTTTACATCAAGTAACACCTGTAACTGCAGCTGGAGTTACTAGAAGTGCTTGTCCTCAGTTCCACTGAAATAGAACCCACTGTAGTGGGTTTGCGTGCATTTGCATGTGACTTGTCAGAAATAAATGTTTCATGGAGTTGTAAAATATTATTTGTTTGACTACCTTAAAAATCAAAGCTAAATATAAGATGAGCACTTCCTTCTTCCTAGTGATTGCAAGAGTTAGATTCCTACGTGAAGTTATTCCTCTTTGCTCCTGTAGTGGAGAAGCTGGCAGTCAGGAATTGGGAACATTTTTAACCACAACCAGTGAATATGGGCTTTTTTTGCTGATCGTTGAGACCGCAGATAAGTTAAGGTTTGCTTACCTACGCTGATCAAATGATTCCTCCATCTCACACATAAGGTGCTCTGAAGTAATGAAGTGGGTAAATGTTGCATAATGAAAGAATTGTGCTGCCCCTGTCCTACTGGTGGGGGAATCTGTACAATATTCAGAGTTGAACTGGAGTATTTGTTGCTATATAATATCTATTGGAAATGTACTTCATTCAAGGGTAATGGAGTGCATAGAGAATTCAGGGTCAAGCAATGAGATGCAAACCACTGTGCTCTTTAGGTAGCTGTAAGTTTCATTTTCATCCCTGCGTCCTTTTCAGTATTTAGCTGTCAGAATTCCATTTTATTAGTTAAGATTCTGCTCTGTCCAAATAAGGCAGAGGCAGAACAGCTCTGCTGAAGGATTTTGGATCTAGAAAATAAATGAAAGAATATTTTCCTTCATTATATCTAATACATAGTACACTTTTTAAATTTTTTGGTCTCACAGTATTTTCTGTTTTAAATATTGGTTATAGCAGACTATAATGTATGAGACTTGAATTTTATCTGGAATTAATTTTTATCCCAGATCTTCTTAGGTTGAAATTTTGTGATTAATAAATATAAAATAAAAATAAATAAACCCATATATACATGTTCTTAAAAACCTATTTCACTCATATAGCAGCAGCTTTTGATAAAAAACTCTTATGCATTATAAGTTATACATAAACAGTTAAAAAAATGTTTTTGCCATTTTTTCTTTAATGTGCTAGTTTCCTGGCCATTAAACAACCTCACCCTAAGTATCTCATGAATTTTGTATATGATGTCTGTTGCATAAAGCAGATTTTATAATTATTTAATGAATCTCTGTGTCTGACCCATCATTGTAGTTACAATACTGGTAGCATTGATCTCATATTTAAAGCTTTTTAGAAGAGAGGGAGAAATCAAAATGGAAAAAACTAGCAGTAAAATAGAGATGAAGCCTCTAAATTTCTGGTCTGCTGTGTTTGTGAGATAGTATCAAATTCTGTGTTATGTTATTCTGTTCCAGCTGTTTACCTCTGCAAGCGGACAATGCAAAACAAAGCAAGGCTAGAGCTAGCAGACTATGAAGCTGTAAGTACCTGGGGAAAAGTAAATTTCTCTGCTGGGCCTAAGGAGCATGTCAAATAACATTAAGCATAAGAATGATAGGCATTATATGTTAAAATTTATTACTTATCCACTAGTGCCAGCATGTGGGTCTGACAGTGCTCAGTAATCATAAATGCTCTTTGAGAGACTGCAGTGAAGGCTAGCTGGGCACAAGTTGAGATTTTGGTCCATCTCTAATCTTACTCTGCTCAGATCGTTGTGTCAGGATCAGAAATAATTGTTCACAAATCCCAGATACGCTACGAGTGTTTGAAAGCAATGGTACTCTACACTATGTAAGGTTCAAATGAAGGATCTGGCAACATTTTCAAAAGCACGTGGTAGCTGTAGAAACATGATGCTGGCGTTTGAGCCCTTGTCCCATCAGTTAGACGAGAGGCAGAGGGTCAGACTAGAGGCACTTCCCACTCCCGGGAAGTTGTGCTGTGCCCCAGGCAAGGTAAGATAATTGGTGCCAGGAAGAGCTGGAAAAAGAGCGAGTCTGATTAGCTGATGAGGATGGCACTCACTAAGGAGAGAGATGTGTTGCATTCTATGCATATCCCCCCAAAAGTTCCTGAATTTTTCATGAAAATGTCAACATAAAATTCATGAGCAGCCCTGGCTCTGCGCTGAAAGCTGTCCAGCTGTGCTATTGTGACATGATAGCAGGGTAGTCAGCCAGGCCTCTCAACATGCCAAATACTCCAGCCGCAGCACCATGCTGTCACACTTTATTGCTTCTTCTGGCACAAGCTTGCTTTTCAGTGTACTGCACTGTGGGGTATGCATAATTTTATACTTACATGCTGTAGAAAATTCACCTCCAGTACACAGTCCACGAGAGCCTTTACTGGTATTGACAAGATCTCTAGAAAGTCTCCTCTTCATTCTCTGCAGTCTTTATTTTCAGTAAGTATGTCATAGAGATCCATTTGCAATGCACAGAAATACGTTAAAGCAACACTTTTTGTTAGGAAGTTTACAGACAATTTTTGACTTCGTCTCAGTAAAAGCAGTGCACGAAGATAACTGGTGTCTTTTTGGAGGGAGATAAGAACCTCAGCCTTCTCCACATTAACAGACTGCGTACTGCTGCCATTTAAGCTGGTGAATGTTTGGAAAAGCTCTGTTATGGACAGTGAAGCTGTTCCAACATCACTGGAGGAAAGAATTTTGCTAAGGTTTTACAAATCTTCTTCCTGTTGTTATTAGTAGGCTGTAGGATATATACATTTCCTGTACAGTAGTGAAGAACTATACTCTACGTTTTTAAAAAATAAGGATACCTGTGAAGGTCTTGGAAAATTCCTATACTACCAAAATATTGATAGCTTCTTATTGTTATATTTTAAATAAATTGATAGGCAGCCAACATTGTTCAATGCAAACCATTTGTACAGATGACTGATGGGAATTGTCATGTGGATCATACAGTATGGAAAGTACTGTTGTTATCTTTCATTATTAGGTACTTTCAAAACAAGAATATTTCTTTGTATTACTATAAAATTACTCAGCCAGCACCCAGTATATAATAATGCTTCAGAAGTCCCATGTTCTGCTGAAGATTACATCCACCCTTGTCATCAGAGTTTCAAACCGAAAATAGTCGGGGCATTCAAAAGTTGATAGATCTAGCATTCCATCCCATTTGGTGTCAAGCAAAGACTTTATATCAGATAAGTAAGGTTATACTGGCACAGATATTGTGACTTGTATTACATCTTGGGGGGGGGGGGGTAAGGGGGGAAGGGAAAAAACCCATTTGGTGTCAAGCAAAGACTTTATATCAGATAAGTAAGGTTATACTGGCACAGATATTGTGACTTGTATTACATTTGGGGGGGGGGGGAGTAAGGGGAGAAGGGAAAGATACACTACAAGCTATTAAATAGTAAATAACTTACAACCTAACTCACTAAAATTTTGATGTATTTTCAGGAGAGTTTGGCCAGGCTACAGCGAGCATTTGCTCGGAAATGGGAGTTTATTTTTATGCAAGCTGAAGCACAAGCAAAGTAAGTTCCTTTGAAGATGAGGAGTTTTGGTTTTGCATGCTCTTTGAAGGTCAAAGGGGAGGGAAAAGTGATTGGACACTTCCTATGTTTAAAATTACTGTCATTAACATCGTTTCATTAAATATCCTATAACATTGACAGAGTGGACAAGAAGAGAGACAAGATAGAGAGGAAGATTCTTGACAGCCAGGAGCGAGCGTTCTGGGACGTGCACCGGCCGGTGGTGAGTGCAAGTGGGGCCTCTCTGCTGTGAGCAGAGCCAGTGATAAATGTCAGCCTCTGTGGAGCACTGGGGTAGCCTGGGAACAAGTGAAAGGGCTGTAGGGCTGGGGGTTGGGGCCCACCTCCCTTTTTTGCAGAATCTATCGTTTATGTCATTCTACTATTGAAGACTGCAGATGTGAGTACACTCAGTTTGGGGTTTTCAGTGAACAGCTTTGGTGTGTCTTACTTCTTAAACCAGCAGATACCTGTCTCGACTATTACTATCTCAAAGGTTTCCCAAGGTATGAGTCACACAACCAAAATTATCAACATAGCTAAAAATACTTTTTAAAAAATCTTGGGTTTTAATCTGCTTTTTTTGCTTGCTAAGGCTTTCAACTCCACTCTGGTCATATTTCCAAGCTATTTTTAATGTACATAAAGGTTAGATATTGTTGGCTTCGAGCTGTGGGAGTCATACACTGTCTGAACAAGATTTGTCTGAGTTGCTTGTCAAAATCCATCTGAAAAAAAATCTAAAAAGGGTCTTACATAATCAACTACTTTTGAGAGCTAAACTTTGAGAAAGAATGTCAAATGTCAAAAGAATTCCAATTAAACTGTAAGAACTCAATAATCATACTTTTTTTTTGGTTTACTACAGCATTATATGTTTCCCTTACCTAGAGTGAAGCTTTCATTTTCTTTGTACAGAGTTTGGGATCGTTGCCAGTGAAACTGAATATGCGCTATATCTTCCACTGTGACACTGGGAAAAGACACTTAACTAAAACTAATTGTTTTGGGGAAGGAAAGTTGGGTTGATGATACCTGTAGAAGAGGTGAATACAGTGAGAAAGTTTCAAATAAAAACCAAACTTGGACAGGGTCAGCTTGCATTTGTGACTGTGGAACTGAAAAAGCAGTAGAAGAAATGGATTTTTAGGTAGGATTTAGAATGTCAGGTAGAGAAAATCATTTGAAGTGAAAGACTCAAACGACAAGCATTAGATACAAGAAGACTGGGACATTATTGTCTAGTCACTGACATAAAATAAGGAAGGAGGACAGAAAACAATCTGCCATCTGATGTTGATGGGAGCCACAAATAGAATAGACACAGAAAGTTTCGGTGGACCTGAGAACTCTGAAGGTGCAGACAGCTTTTATATTAGCTGCAGAAATGGATCTAAGGTTTTCGAATCTGGGAATGAGATGCTATTTCCAGGTTTGGAAGAGAAGGTGAATTGTTGAAGTTTCAAGTTAAGATATAGGCAGACAATAAGGAGAGAATTAAAGGGACCAGGGCAAGAGGAAATTGAATCTGATTAAGAGCTTTGGCTGAACTGTGGCTAAATCTGCCTGGTCCAGCAGATGTTTTTAATCTGCTGTAGACATACCTAGGAAATATCAGACGCAAAAGACTGGCTTACAGTCAGCAATGTAGGCTCCTGACTTTAGGAGATATAAATAGAAGAATTGAGAATTTCATACTTTGGCTAACCAGCTCCTCTCACGAGTTACTGAAATACTCATTTTGAAAACATTATTGCAAATTTTACTGTCACAGTAAAAGCCAGAAACTTCTATTAAAAAGAATAAAAAGTAAAAGAGGAACAGACTGAAAAGAGGAAGGTGATGCTAGAGCTAATTACAATTTCTAATGGCTTTTCATGCCCCCAAAAAGCCCACCAAAAACTCACAGAAATGTTGCTGCAACTCTGGAGAGATAATTTTGGAAAATTAGGTAATGTTTGGGTAAGAACCTGGGGTTAATGCTTAATTTTGTTTACAGCTTTTCATCCTCTGATAAAAATCCAGAAGCTAAAGGCAGTGACAATATTGTTCAAAATCTACCCCAATTTGATTTTTTTTTTTACTGAAAATGAATTTTGAGAACCAAATATTTCATTAATTGCTTTTTGTGTTTTATCTCATCTAAGCAAATAAATATTTTCAGGGTTTTTTTTTTGCAAGTGTCCTGGTCCCTAGTTGCTTTCTTTCTTACCTAGCTGGTTAGAGTGCTAGTACAGAACCTTTACACATAGAATATAATCTATTAATATTAAATCTATATTTGATTTTAAAAAAGAGATGCTTTAAGGTGATGAAAGGGATAGAAGTGGGAACCAAGCCATCAGTGCAACAGGAAAGTGTAGCAGTACACTAGAGGAATGGGAGACATAAAAAAAGAACAACTATGTTGTGACAGTGAAACCAGGAGAGCCTAGCTGCAGAAAAAGAGCATGATTTGGCTATCAGAAATGTCACTGTGACTGGTAAGTTTAAAATAAAGGAAATGAACCAAGGTTTGATGTGTAAATTGTGTTTGCCTCAAAAAGCACCCTAATTTCATAGGTCCCAAGTCAAAGTCAGTCTTGCAGGTGGCTACGGAGGCCCCAGAAGATTTATGCCATAGTCTGGGAGACGGACAAATGCTTGAAAGTCATCACAGCTGTTACTTTTGATCAGCTGGCTGGCTAGTGCACATAACTTTTTCCTAGGTTCTCAGACCGAGGTGATGCTTGGAGATGAACCAACGAAAAGTGGATTTGGAGGGGAAATTTTTGAAATAGTCTCCTGTCCTTCAGTTTTCTTTTGAGAGGCAGTCGAGAGAACAGGTTTGATATCCCACTGATGGGTTTCCATTCCAATATTTATTTAATTGCAGTTTCACTGTCTATTTATTTTTTTATTTTGCTGTTTATGTTAGTGTAATGTGGAGTGTAATCTCAGTCATTTCTGTAAATTCTAGTTTCTGCTTTATACAGAAAGACCTTAGTTTGCAGCCAGAAAGACCATGACTGAGCTTCAACTGTAGGTACTGCAGCCTGCAGAGACATTCCTGAAGAAGTTTTAATCTTACTAGTTCAGATACCAATTGCAGTGAAACTGTGGAAATGTATGTGAGGGAGAGCTGTATAAACTCCTCTGAGATCCTGAGCAGCAGCCCTAGGATAAAGTCCATATCATAATTTCTTAGGTATGGCCAGTACCTAACACAGGTCTGAGATAAATATTATTCGCATATAGTGACATACTTCTCTTTTTGATGGCAGAGTAAACATATCTTAAAAGCCTTCCTTTCCTTTCCACCTGCCTAGAAAGTGTATCATTTTCATAATTTTGAAACTTCAGTCGATAACAGACTATGGAACTGAGTGAAAATTAGTTAGGGGGATTAGGGTGTTAGTCAAAGAGCAGTAACAAATCAAGCTAAATCAGGGAAGTCAGTTCCTTCCAGGCAAAAGAAATTGTGAAGCTGCTCTTGTTTGTAAAGAAATGTCATGCTCCTGATTAAAGTCTTCATAAAAGAACTCGTAGCTTTCCTGAATTATTATTGCTGTTTAAAACCCATAATCTTACACTTGTTAAAAACGGACAAACAGGTACTAAAACATTAAATCCCCTGAAACATTCTCAAACTGGCATCAAAGTAGGAGCAGAGTAGCTGTGGCTTGCGGTAAAATTAACTCTTTTAGGTAGCGAGCACGGATAGCTGATGTATTGCTGCTACAAATGACTCACTTTTCTTCCTGAGTTACACATTAATGTAATTTAAATGAAATGCATAATAAAGGCCTTTTGGGTGCTTCTTAAGATTTGGAATAATTCAGAAGATAGTGGGGGAACTATCCTTTTCTCCTGAAAGTCATCTGTATACATCTTAACTATAATAAGGTGAAAAAAACTATTTATTTTCTCCAATGCCTCTGACCCTTGTCATCAGTTAGAGTGTTGGTTATATTGTAGTCATATTTAGCAGGTTTGTGTGCAGTTGTTTTTCAAAGGAAGATGGGTAATATGCAACAACTTTCTAAGATGTGCTAGAAAACTACAGTGGTGCGTGTCCCTCTCCAAAGTTTAAAATCTGGCTGTGGTTTAGTTATACTGTGGCTTAATAAAGCATGAATTAAGGTGTGATCCAGTTCTGCCATTCTGCTGTGCGTAGCTTGGTTAAACGCGATCTGCAGGACTTCTGTTCCCATTGCTACCACTGGTTTGCTGAATGGTGAATATTTTGCTTCTTAGCGGAAAACATGAATAACAAATACCAATAAGGGTTAGAGTTGACGATCTTAAAGTTCTTTTTCAACCTAAATGATTCTATGAATCTATGAAAAAACAAACCAATTTGTGTGATTTAATACAGTAAGACAAATTATCCAGGGTGAGTATGTCTGGTAAGAACAGCAGGAACATTAAGGGCAAGTGTGGGTTTAAGATAATTCACTGATGATGTAAAATTCAAAAATATGTATGATTTCTGGATTTAGGTGTTTCATGATATTGTTTCCTAGTAGCAAACTAGGAAAACAGTAATCTTTAATTTTTTTAAACCTTGTCGCACATCCCACACCTTTTGTTTCTCTCTCTATTCAGGGTTTTTTGTATGAGATTCTGCCTCCATTAATCTAATTTTATCTGTTTGTATTGTAAAATTATATTTTATGTGGTCTCAACAGGACCCTCAGCATCTGAGCCAGTAGGTAAATTACTGGGTGTCTAGGGTCATACAGCCGATACTTGCGGTTATTTGTTCTGTTTGTTTTTTTTTTCTTTTCTTTTGTTGCTTTTGTTTTTAATGACTTTTCCATCCTGTCCTTCAAGATCAGCCTCAAAGACTTGGCAAAAGACTGAATTTAACTTGGCTAAGGTGGTGCAATCCTTTATGACACACTTCACGTGCTACAAATCCTAGACTTTTCTGGGCCAGTTGCTCCTTTAGCCAGAGAACACTTCTGTCAGCTTTATCATAATATTTTTGGAAAGTTTTAAAACATCTCCAGGAAACAAATGTGAATCATGCCATCCAGCTTCTCTAGTGATGTATTTGCATACAATTTTCATGTCTTCTTTTGCACCTGTTTCACCATATATCCTTACAAGGGAGTTACCTCTCCAGCAGACAGGGAGTGCAGCCAAAGCAGCAATTGGCAGTCTCAGATAATTGCACTTCTGGTAATGAAACAAAGCCTTGTACAATGTTTTATTTTCAGAAAATGGTTATAACGTTTA